CCCCCACAGATACCTGTGCATGCCCACCATCATCACTCTGATAATCACTACCACCCACTCTCAACCCAACTTTGATCCGTCCCTCTTATCACCTCATTTTTGGAAAGGTTCAGGATTTTGACTGTGGGTGCCATCTGTATAATATCAGGCCATCCAGCTGGCACAGTCTGTTGTTGTGCAAGGTCAGGGACAACAGCTTTGGGGAAGAAGAATTAAAGTGATGCTTACCATCTAGGACCTCAGAGACAAATCTGCCCTCTCTCCCTTCTGTTCCACCTCCTACCATAACACCAGCACTGGGTCTAAGGACTCACCTTAGGACAATTCTCTTCAATGACCTCAGGGTGGCGGCCATGCAGTTTCTTTGATTCAAAATTATATCTATTTCAGAGCCCACCAAGTATTCAGGAAGCTTAGAGGGGGGAATCATAAAGCTGAGAGGAGTCCAGGGCCAACACCCACCCCTCTCTCATTACCATATCTTATTTTCTTTCACAATTACTTATGTCAGCTGGATCAAAGTGAAGCATCTGGAGTTCAGGAGCTCTCTGGGAGACACCATATCATTTGCTCATGATCTGCTGCAGAGTGAGATGGCGAAAAAGCTCTGAGGATGTGGTGGTGATAGGGGAATCGGTGGCTAGGGGAAGAAGAGGTGGGACTGAGTGGGGGCATATAACATGCCTTGAGTCTGCATTACCTTTAGCTGTTTAATTTCTTCTGGTTTCAACTTATTCTCCATAGAGTAGGGTATAGCAGTACCTGGAATACAGATACTTGTAGCTACAAACCCAAAGGACTGTGTTGACATGCTGCATTATATGGTGTTCCTTCATATCTTCCTCACAGGGGGCTGATGATACAGTAACCAGCTTCTTGCCCTCTCTGAGGTTGCTGAGTCTTGTGACATGGAGGCTTCAAGCCATTCCCAGATGCAGCCCTGCTGTCAGACTGGAATTGTTCTGTGGCAGGGGTGACCAGGCCTGCAGGGGAGGGCAGTTAGGGGTGACCAGGCCTGCAGGGGAGAACAGTTAGGGGTGACCAGGCTGGCAGGGGAGGGCAGTTAGTGGCAATCAGGCCGCAGGGGAGGAGTTAGGTGTCGATCAGGCTGGCAAGAGAGTGGTTAGGGCAGTGATAGTGAACCTATGACACACGTGTCAGAGGTGACACACAAACTCATTTTTTTGGTTGATTTTTCTTTATTAAATGGCATTTAAATATATAAAATAAATATCACAT